GAGGGAAGCACAGACCTTTACAATGAAAATTACACTGACCTGCACAACACTGCATCAGCTACACTTGTCATCCAGAATGTGATAAGAATATTGTGTACTGTACATTTGTACATCTGTACAGCAAAACATTTGAAGACAAATTTGTCTTTACCAGTTTGAATGATTTTATGATGGTGGTTAGGATCACCATGGGGAACAACTAATCTATTTACTTTTTCCCTATTTATTTCAATTAGATTCTTCCTTCTAAAAAAAACTACTGTAATGTGCCCCACAGATATAAGGACACCTCAAATAATTGGGAATACAATCATAAAGGAGGGAGGTGCTCTGAACCTGACCTGCAGTGTTGAAAGTTTCCCTCCATCTGTGATTATGTGGTCTAAACTTGGTTCTGATATAACCCTTCACAATGACACTGGATCAGCCACACTCTACATAATTAATGCTACAACTGGACATTCTGGACAGTACGTCTGTACAGCGAAACACATGAACAATACCCTGCAAGAAAACATCAACATAACAGTGATGTGTGAGTAAGCAATTTTATCCTTTAGACAGAGCTTTTTTGTCACTCAGGTAAATAAAAATATCAGTTTAAAGAAATTAAACAACTGTATTCAGACACTTTTAAATATGCTAAGCTGCCTCAACATCTATGTATTAAAGAGCCATTGGAAACCATTTCTTATTATTTAAAATAACTTTATAATAATAATTTAATAATAATAATAATTTTCTTCATTCTGAAAAAAACTACTGCAATGTGCTCCACAGATATAAGGACACCTCAAATCACTGGGAATACAATCATAAAGGAGGGAGATGTTCTGAATCTGACCTGCAGTGTTGAAAGTTTTCCTCCAGCCCTTATCATGTGGAGAGACCTTAGCTCTAAAACAAACAGCAAAGATAGTGGAGCTTACACTGCCCTGCATAATGACAGTGGCTCAGCTACACTTGTCATCCAGAATGTGACAGCAAAAGATTCTGGACAGTACACCTGCACAGCAACACATCCAGACACAACTGTAACATCATCTGTCAGTGTGATTGTGTCTTGTAAGTAGATAGTACGGTTGTTTGATGTGAAGTTCATATTTACACTTAAAATCATACCTTACCTTGTTTTTTATTTCTGGTCATGTGTTTTCAGGGTTTTCAAAGATCCAGGATGGCTCTGGATGTGTGCTTCAAGCAGACGTTTTGACCTGTGTGTGTATCAGTGAAGGGTTTCCTTTACCTACCATCAAATGGCCACTCCTAGGAAACCACAAAGAGTACGCTATCAAAACGACTGTGTCAAACCACACAGTCAACAGCACTGTCAGTCTAACTGTAAAAAACTATGGCAACAGCACTGTTGAATGTGTGAGCAACAATGAAATGGGAGAAGCAAAAAAAAATCTAATGATCCGAAGTGTGTCTGGTACAGCGGGTATGTATTTTAATTTTCATAAGTGAGACCTTTGCATTTATAAAAACATTAGAAAATCAATTAATTGGACTGTGTATAATTGAAAGCATCTTTGAAATAACCTTTTTCATGTTGTTCCATTTGAGTACAGCTCACTCATCGGTTTTGAACGTGGGATATTTAGAAATCATCATTGCCTTTTTGATTGGAGTAGTTCTTTCTGCAGTTGTTTGCTGTTTGATTAAAAAATGTTCAAGGTACGACACTTATTTTCATTATATTTTCGTTTTTTTTTAAATAGATGTATTTACACTTGACTTTAATAATGTAAAACCCCTTTATTCAGAAAAAAAACAAAGAATTCTGGAAATTTGGATGAGACTTTGGAGATGGTAACAAGTCAAGACGATCCACAGGTATTTATGTTCATTTGGCTTTTTTTTTAACATAATTATAAAGTATTTAATTGTGCACTAATATCCTCAATACTGAAATATACATATTTAGTCTTTTGGTTTTCTATATAGTTTTAACGTACTAAAAGATCTGCAGGGATAAACAAGTACTGGAGGTAGGTTACTGTGTATTCATGATGCCTTTGAACTACAGTCCAACCTCTATCAGTCTGTTTCATCAGCATTTGCTTAAGGAAAATATATCAAATAAAAGAGGACAGAGAAAAAGAAAACTCATCTTGCTTCAAAGTTTTGCAACTTTAAAGAAACAGGGATAGATCAATACCAAAATTTAATTGGTTCTTTTCATAAGCCCACCCTTCATTTCTCCACCAAGTTTCATGATACCCAAAAGGGTAAGTTTTGCATAATCCTCCTAAATCACTGAAAACAGATAAATCAACATAATCCCAGTTATTCTCATTAAGATTATTTCATGAAAACACTTTGCACTATAACATAGGAATGCTGAACCACATATAGGTCCATAATTTGTTGGATAAAGACAGAATTTCTGTAGTTTTGCCTCTGTACACAGCCACATCGGATTTTTAATCAAACAATCAATGTAATTGAAGGATAGACTTTCAGCTTTAATTAGGAGTTTTACCAAAAAATGCATAAATTGAAGTTTCTGTTAGATAGTATGTCTTATAGTACAGTCAGCACCGTGACTTCTTTCTTTCTTGCTGCTATTTCAAACACCACGAATTAAACTTAATGGAAAAATGTAAGGAATGTGTAAGCATTGTAATTGTAAAAGTAATTTAAGTTTGAATCAACCTGATTTTCAACCCACAGAAAAAAGAACTGCATGACATGATTTTGACATTAGTATTGCAGTATTGCAGATTACCCAGATAGACACAATCTAATGTGCAATACTGGGTTTTTGGAGGCTGGTAATTGACTTGTATCATTTACGTTGTACCTAGCACATATATGATGGTCAAGAAACACAAGACAATCAATCCGAGCCACAAGAAGAAGTTGAAGATGAAAGTGTGGCAGCAGAGAAAGACATGCCTGAAATCAGCGGTGCTCCGCAAGAAGTGGAGTATGCAGACATTGATTTTTCCCTGTTGAAAAAAAACAACAAGTCAGAGAGAAAGCAAGAAAGCACAAAGACGGAGTATGCTGAAATTAAGAAAGCAATAAAAGACAAACAGGAAGGTGAAATGGTGAAGGGCGAGGAGGAGGAGATGATGACAGAGATGGACCTGAAACAGTCTGAACCAGAAAAGGAGAAAGAGGAAGACGAGCCAGTGTACTCCACTGTGAATGATATAATCAACAAAATTTGAGTTTCATTGTGGGTTTCCCTCGGATGAATGTTCTTTGATCTGGTGGTTTTGTGTATGAATAATTCCACTTTGAACCATTTTTCTCACACTGTCATCTCCACACATCTGTGTCTTAAAGTAGGGGCTCTGCAAAATAAGGACTGGAACTTGGACATAATTTCCTAATCCCTCTGTTATTTTGCTGTCATGTTTTTGGTTTAATAACCTTTTCAGGTAACATTTTAAATGTTTTATTGTGCAAGGGTAAGTGTGCGTCTTTGGACTGAACACATTTGC